ATTTTTTTGTCCACAAGAGAAGAAGATTCAGAGGATGATGAAGAATGCTCCATTGAGAAGATTCAACAACAATTGAACGATCTTCTAAAGCAGTGTCATGAGCTTGGTGATGAAAACAGGTGTTTGAAGGAGAAAGTAAAGGAACTGGAAGAGGAGAATGAAGCAGTTAAAGTCGCTCTGAAGGCCACAATCGATGAGCTTGAATTGGAAAATGAGGTACTAGAGGTAAAACAGGATTTTGCTTTTAAGGATATTGACAATCTAAAAGAATTGTTGAGACATTTTCGAAACAACGATTGCAATAAAGCAAGGCAGATCAAGAAAAATCCAGCTCCAAAGAAAAATGTTGAACCTTGCCCCAACCTGAAGTGTGACAACTCCCCTGTTGCAACAACATTAGAGGTATCAGTCAGTAAGTTAAATCGCACTGCGATTCTCTATCTTCAAATAGGTTATGATGAAATTTTAAATGCTCATCCTTCCAACCCTAATAAATTCGGACTGGGATATGTAGGTGATAAGACTAATGATAAAACTAAGTCTAATCCGAAAATTAAATTTGTCAATCCTACACCACAGTATGAAAGTTCTCAAATCCATAAATCAAAGTTTATTCCTACTTGTCATTTTTGCCACAAGCAGGGACATGTTAGGCCTAAATGCTTTAAAAGATTGAAACTGATTAATAAGAGTTTGGCTTACCTGAAATGTTAAATGTCGTTTCAATTTTACTAATACCGTTTTGATTTCGAACCTGATTTTGACATATTTCTATTTTGATTTTGGCAAATTTTGAAGCACGAAAATTGTAGCCCTCTGGGTTAGCTTTATAATCCAACTTAAATCCACTAGATTGGATGTCTTGTGACAAAGTTATGCATGAATGAGTCACATTTTGAATTTTAGATACCTCATTACATCAAAGTTGTGGGCAGTATCTATTGATTCATGTATATCTTTGTCGTTAGACATCCAATTTTTATTATGTTTACATTTGTTGAACGGTCAACATAGTAATATTACTCTATTACACAATAATAATAAGTTTTGTTCTGTTAATATTATTGTGCTAGATATTAATATAGCAATATTAATGTGTTCAACTGTAGTTTAGTTAGTTAATTTTACTGTGTTTAACAGTAATATAGTTAATATTATTGTCAATCACAACAATATTGTTGTTTAAACGAAAAACAAAGTTACAGAAAGAAAGAAAAGAAGAAAAAAAAAATTGAAAAGTCAACGCCGGAATCCAACGGGAAAAAAAATTTTGAAAAAAAAAAAGTTTTGGGTCAAAATTGAATAATTTGTAAAATTTGAGGTCAAATTGAGGTTAAATAAAGTTAAGGATGAAATTGGAGCATATTAAAGTATGAGGGGTTATTTTAGTCTTTTACAAAAATCTGGACCATGTGTGGACTTATTGGTAAATGAGTTTTTTGTCTGGATCTCTTTATAAATAAGTACCCATTGATGGGCTTATTTATAATGACCCCTTAAATTATATCACAAACAATATTTTAGGGAAAAAAACTTGGAGATGGATTTATTGAGGCTATTTGAAATAACCCCTCGTTTAATTTCCTAAGATTATTAATTCAGTTTTTAATCTCATTTTATGGATAACCACTTCAATAGCAGAATACTTAAATTACCCTAATTAGTGTTTTTATGTTTAGATTATTTTTTTTCAATTTTTTATTTTTGGTTATTTCGATTTTTTTTTTTTTTTTTTTTTTTTGAGACGTACTATATCCACCCTCAAAATATCTTATTTCACTAACAAATTAAATATATTTTCCATTTTACCACTCTATTCTTCTTTTTCCTATATCCTTTACAAATTTATAAACCGTTCACCACTAAACTAATTAAAATATTTATTAAAAAAATGCTACTATTTTCATTGGAATCTTAAACGCAAAATATTACCCTCTGCACCTTAAGTGAATAATACTTTCGTCAGAAAAAAACAACATTTCGGAAGGTCAAAAAGAGCAGCAATTCACGTTCTTGGAGAAATAAATTAGGAGTGCGTGTATGGAAAGCCCTAAGCTTCCTACACAATTGACAAGTTTTGCTTAATATAATTTTGTGTCCTAAAACAAAATTACATAATTTGTAGGTCATCTCATATGGAAGTTTAAATATCTTGTAATAAATATTTTATTGCAAAAATATTTAAAAAATTAAAATTAAAAAAAATTAAAAAAAATTAAAAAAATTAAAAAAATTAAAAGATTAAAATAAAATAGTAATAACTTAGAACACATGAGGATCACACAATATAAATCCCCCTTTGTGTTAAGGAAAACTTGCGCCAAACCCCCTTGTGTGATTTTTCTTGTGTAAAACCCCATCGTATTTCATTTTACTTTGCACGAAATCCCTTTTTCCGTTAAAAGTTAACACCATTAACTATAGAGGGAATTTTATGCAAGTTTTTTATAACATAAAGGGATTTGGTGCATGGTTTTGCAACACAAGGGGGGTCTACGCAAAATTAATTTATTCTTTTAAAATTCAATTATTTTCTTAAATTAGGTCGAATACATCTATTAATTTAAAATATGAAATCCGATAGAAGATGGAACGAATTCTCAAATTGTTTATGTTCTTTTCACATATAATTAATATAGAGTAAATTATAAAAATAGATGATAATTCTAATAAAATAATTATATATTTTAAAAAATCAAAATTCTTAAATACATTAATAAATTATATCATATAAAAATTATTCTTTTTAAATACTCACCACACCTATTAAATTTATATTTTTCATATTGAAACTAAATAAATGTGTTCGACTAAATTTAAGAAAATAATGTGAAAATTTTATATGAATAAATTAATTTTGCATAAAATCCCCTTGTATTGTATAAAATATGCACTAAATCCCCCTATGTTATGCAAAAATTGCATAAAATCCCCTCTATAGTTAACGGTGTTAACTTTTAACGGAAAAGGAGATTTCGTGTAAAATAAAATGAAACACAAGGGGGTTTTACGCAAGAAAAAAAACACATGGGGGTTTCATGATGTTTACCCGAAGAGTAGGTATCAACTCTTCTAATTAGGTTTGGTAATTTATTTTCAATAAAACTACAGTGAGTGTACTTAAGTTCACCTTTTCATTTATCACCAAACTGTTTTTGTCACCGGTGTTAATTGTAGAAAATAAATGTAAATAATTATGTTAAATAAAAAGTTTAAGAAATATTAAATTTCTTATCCGATTGGGTTTTATTCGGATTGAGCAATAGTAGACTCAAACTCGATTCATATTTTTCGGTTTCAAATGGCTTAAGTTTGGCCAGACACTCAATCAGTTGAGCTCGGCACAAATAAAAACGAGTCCAACAATCGGACATTGGTTAGGCTCGGCTCGATTGTCGATCCTATTTTTTTGTTAACAGTATACGTAATTGGCTTTGTTGAAGGCCCATTATCAAAAAATAAGAAAATAAATATAATGAAAATAGATAAAATAGAAAGAACTGTTTATGGCAAACAAGTTATCAAACTCAAGACCCCCATCAGCTTAAAGCAAAAACTGAATCACTAGACCAAATGATTTTCAATAATAGTGCTTAATAACAGATTTTGAGGCCTTAACAAACAACATTTTGAGACGAATACATGGGCCGGGCTTGAACATACGTAAAATGACGACTACTGGGTGAAAAATACCGGATCATAAGCAAAATTAATGCAATGTGTTTCCGATTTCGATCATATCTATTTCACGGCACGCCAATATGATTAAAAAAAAATTGGCCAAATTAGCCACGGCACGCCATATACCGCAGTACTAAAAAACTTGTTACCGATGTAATGGATCCTGATGGACCAAAACACATAATTTTGAAGTCCTATTGGGTTTCTTTTACTTCTTTTTTCAAAAAAAAAATGTTATAAAAGAGACTTCCCTACATCAAAGTACACGTTTTTGGCACAAGAGAAGAGAGACGACGATGCACAAGTGATGTAGCCATTTAGGCCACTTCATCGTATTTATGTGTATGTGTAAGTATTTGTGTGAAGTGTGTTCTTGGTGTAATGTGTGTTTCTCCTATGTGGTTTTTGAGGTCATTTCTCTCGTAAATTCCCTCCACTCGTTTCTTATGTCGTGAAGAGAGAGGAGTGGGGAGAGTGGGCCGCTTTTGTTGGGCCCAAAACATGTGGTTGGTGGGCTTGGGCTGGAGAGGAAAATGGCCAGATTGGTAAGTCTACTGGGCTTGGGCAAAATTGCCTCAACTAGCATGACTGAGATCTGATAAAATTTTACCGTGATTTTATATTCTTCTTCTCTTTCTTCTAGTCAAAACCCTCGTCGAAGCTTATCGAGTACTGCATGATTACACTATTTCAACGCTCGATGGTTCCAGTCAATCATACAACAATCTGCCATTGATGCCAATAATTTTGAAATTAAAGCGGGACTCCTCACGATGCTATAAAGTAACGGGTTGTTCAGCAGGTTGGCTCACGAAGATCTACATCTTCATATGGTTAACTTTTTGGAAACGTACGTGACTCGCATAAGATGAATGGAGCTTCACCAGAGGCACTGCAACAACGTAACTCCACCTCTTTAAGTCTCTTTATGAATAAGTACCTATTAATGGGCTTAGTAAAGTGTTTTATAAAAAAATACATATGCAGCATTGTCATGCTCAAATAGAGAGACACGTATCAAGGCTATACATCTAAAGCCATGACTCATCTAGTATGGGAATTATCATATTGCTGCATAGTCCACAAATGCATAATAATAATAATAATAATAATCCATTTATAATAGTCTATGTATTTTTTTATCTGCAATTTTGCCGTTATTTAACATTGTAAAGGATTTCAAAGTGAATTACAGAATTAGGCCATTCGCACATTCCTCAGAAATATCTCCTCTGCTTAAATCGTATCATCATCACAAACAAACACATAATAATAACAATTTCGGAATTAAAATAAAATAACGATATTTGATATTCGTAACGAACTAATCCAACAAAATTAGCGGGCAGAAATGGTTTTTATTATATCCCCGAAAACCATGACCACCATCAATCTTCCTCTCTACCTCAAACCCTCGCCTAATTCTCACTTCCTCCGCCGCAATTCACCTCCGATAAGTCTCCGCCGCTCGTCGCTCACCGTGAGAAGTCAAGCGTTGGGAGAACCGCCGGATTCCGCCGCCGTGTACCAAGGAGTCTACGGCCCATGGAAAGTCGATTCAGCCGACGTCCAGGAAGTGGTTCTCTACAGATCAGGTCTCGTCACCGCCGCCTCGTCATTTGTGATTGCTTCTTCGACGGCGTTTCTGTACAGCACCGATTCTGAAGTAATGGATTTGATAAGAAGGAATTTGGATTTGTTTTATGGAGTCGGAGCTTGTGGATTGGGGGTTTCTCTGTTTCTGATTCACATTTATGTTACTGAAATTAAGCGCACGCTGCAGGGGCTGTGGCTAATTGGTGGCCTTGGATCTTTGGCTGCGTACGCCGCTTTGGCTCAACCGGCGGGTAAGGGTTTGGTGGAGTATGTTGTTCTCAATCCTGCTGCTGTTTGGTTAGTTGGCCCGCTATTTGCTGCTTTAACTGGCCTTGTGTTCAAGGAAGGTATTAATTTATTTATTTTTTATTTTTTATTTAACAATGAATGAATGAACTCAAGTCTAACTCAACTCAATTTGTGTGCAAAATGAGTGTTTTGGATGAGTTGCGCTACTCGAGCTTAATTTCGGAAAATGTGTGAGCTTGATTTGATCATTTGAAAATTAAGTCTAGCAGAAGCATTAGTTGAACTTATAGCACCAAGTTAGAGTAGAGTAGTTTTATATTGTACGAAAACCGGGGATTCGGGTGAAATTTTATGTTCAACTATAGTCTATAGTAATAAGTTGTTGCTGAATTTCGGGTTTTTTTAATTCATTTTTTCGGTACTTGTTTTAGGACTTTGCTATGGGAAGCTGGAAGCTGGTATATTGACATTTATCATTCCATCGGTTCTGCTTGGGCATCTGGTATACTTCTACTATCTCTAATTAGGTTTAATGTTTCGTGTATCGTAGGAAAAATGTTCGAAAAATGGTTGGTTTAATCGAACAACGTATTTTCGAAGTCGTTGAAATAGATAGTAGTTTTAACTTTTAATAAGTTGATATCTCACAATGTATTCAGTTTCTTTTTTCTTCTCAAATGACGGACCTGTGTAATTGGTATACTATACAGAGTGGTTTGATGGATGAAGGTACAAAACTGAGTTTGTTGGGTGTGTGGATGGCGCTCTTTGTCGTGTTTGCCGGAAGAAAGTTCACTCAGCCTATTAAGGTTTTATTCTAAGATGCTTCGTTCACTTTGACACTTGTATTATAACGTTGATTTTCCACTCTCCGACTATAGATAATAATATAGAGAATGATTTGTGTATCTATTTTGTAGGATGATATAGGAGACAAATCGGTCTTCATATTCAAAGCATTGCCTGAGAAGGAGAAAGCAGCACTGATAGAAAAGCTTGAGCAGCAAAACTATCCACAGAATCGCAATTAGGTAGAGGGGAAAACCTTCTATTGAGTTATTTTGTCAATCACACACTTTTCATTGTAGGTGATATTTAAAAAAAATGCAGTGGTTTTAGTGCTTTGGATTTGTTATGGCTGCTGTTACACATAAACGTAAACTCTACAAAAAAAAAGGTCACTCTTGTTGTGTATTTAGCTTGTTCATGTCATCCTGTACAATCTTATTTTAGCATAACAGCCTAAACTTGTACTGATTCATTTCATATTGAACATGATGGTAAATAACTAATAGAGAAACCCAGAACTTCAATCTTGTGATTCAAGACACGATACAGGTGCATAAAATAGAATTCGGAACATGACTTTTTTAATGATGCTGCAAAAGCAAGAAAATAAACCAGACAGATCAACTAAAGAGAGTTAGTTCCCCACCAAATATTATGATAGGAAAGGTCATCAATCCTTCATGTTTTTTATCACTGCATCTTCTTGAAACTAAAAAGAATATAACAAGTACCACAAGATAAAATTTCAAAAGCAATATATATATTTAAAGGATGGTAAACCAAAATCATGATATCAAATGTAGCACCAAAGCTTCTGTTTCAAAACCTGAAAGAAGCTTTGTTGTACCCATTGATTATATCAAAATGTAGTTCATTCATAAAACAGGTATCACTTAAAAACCTGACAAAATAAACAAAAAAACCCATTTCCCCTTTCAAAAATCCCAATAGTATGGTTCCCCCATGGCAAAACAGCTACCACAAAATACAAAAAAAGGAGAGCACAAAAGTAGCATCAGCATTCGAGAGACCGTTTGGGAGTAGATACATATTTTGTTAGCATCAACATCACATCGCCGCAGCTACTTTATTTCTCTTGGAAACTCGTCGGGTAGGGGTATCATCGGGAGTTTTCACACTGCCTTTCTTCTTGCCCTTGCTTGGCTTCGGCTTCGGCTTCACAATTTCAGCATTCACATCACGGTTCTCTTTGTTTTCAGCATCAACGGAATCTTCATTTGTGTCGACATCCATACTTGCACCATCCTCTGCATCATTACTTAAACTGTCACTTTTTTCTTCAACAACTGTTTCAGCCTCCAAGCTTTCCTCCTTCATCTGGTCCTGTAGTGATTCTATCACATTCATCAACTCCCTGTTCACCTGCACACACATATTCAATCAATTAATTAATTCACATGCTTCCAATAAAAATGAAAAAAAACAATTGAAGAAAAATAAATATCTTTTCTTTTTTGTACCTGGGGATTTTGAAGGAATTCAGATATATCGTTTTTGCAAGACGGACACTTCATAACGTTCTTTTGCGCACGCAGTGTCCTTCTCCCTCCACATGTCCTATCTTTGACAAAAGATTGACCAGCAAAAGCACCCTCTAAGCATCCCTTGCAGAAGTTATGAGCACAGGGTGTAGTCATTGGTTGGACCATCACTTTCCGGCAAATGAGGCAGCTAAATTCTGCATTATTCAGATACGGATTTTATTAATCAAAATTGCCATACCAAGAACCTCAGTAATTTCAAGAAAGACTTTAAAACATAAACATTACCTTTCAAAAGCTTTTGTTTTACGGATCCCTTTTGGCTCTTACGTTTTCTTTTGCCTGTAATCTTATTACCTTCACTATCTTCTTCATAGTCACCAGGTGCTTTACGACTTGCTGGTTGTGGTCTCTTCCATACCCAACGACCTTGTTCCTCCTGCACAAAAAAATAAATTTTAAAAATTGTACAGAGCCCATCCCATGCAAACCTCAGTTTCTGAACTCAAACAAGTTCACAAAAATGAAGAAATTAACCCAGAAATGAGATTATAGCTTCTCACATCATAATCCCAGGCAGGACTCCCTTTTCTTTCGGTAATATCAGTAGCCTTCTTCAACTCAGAAACACTAGGCAGAGATGATCTAGGGCGGTCTCCATGGGTATCACTGCAGCAAACAATAATTAGTTCCAAATACGGAATAAGCACTTAATTAGAAATAAATGCATAGAGTGACTAAGGAAGATGATGCAATAATGACAAAGCAACTAACCTTGTCCATGGTGCGGGCTCGTTATCACAGCGAACAAAAAGATAACGGCACACTTTAAACCCCTGAAATAATTCAACAGCAATACAGTGAGACAACATATTACATAACAACAGCAGGCAGAGTTTTTTTTTCATTGAAAAGAATTATACTTGAATTCCAATCTTGCGCCAACACTTTTCAATCCTGTAAACCCCATCATAGCGCACACCTTCAAGTGGTGCATAAGAAGATCGTTTCTCCTTATGGGACCTGCCCATGAAAAGAATACCAGAAAAAAATAACCACATGCATTGAGAATAATCAGAATAGTAATGGTGTACTAACCAAATAAATTACCATAAAGGTTTTCACAAGAGGAAAATATAATTCCATTTTCTACGTTATCACCGCAAATATAGAAAGAAAAAAAAAAGGATAGTCTGGCAATCCGTCTCCAATTAAAATGGTTTAATAAGAATATAAATTGTAAGCATTTTAAGGTATGTCAACAATAGTAATTTATTTTTACCAAGTATCTAACTAGCTATTTCTTTCATCAATGTCGAGTATTTACAAACCCAAGAAATCCTCTGAAATAAGTACTAAGTAAGGAAGGCCACTGAGACATGCGCCTACAGAGAATTAAATGTTCATAAAGGCCATCAACCATACGCAGTAAATGTTATATTACCAATACATGATTGTTGATTGGCAGGAAACTGCAAACACAAAATTATCATATTTTTTTCACCACTTAAGACATTTCAGAGCCTAGTTATGACAAAATTAACTTTTGCACTATTCCTTAGATATTTAAAAAAGAAAAAAGAAAAAAGAAACAGCTTACCTCACAACACGTACTGGATAACCTTGTCGGCAACTGATACGTAAGGCTTCATTATATTTCAAAAAGGTCTGGTCAAATGATTGTTCCTTGTTTGTACGTTTATTCCCAGTAAGATCACGTCCACCACTGCAACCATCAACCAAATGAAAGGATTTTATTAGATTCATTCTGAATATGTACACAGCACCACCAAACAGGAAAGTTGGGTACAAATAATAAAAAGGCGTTGAATGTACCAAATGTTGCGATCAGCAAAAAGGAAAGAAAAAGAAAAAGTCAGCTAAATTCAGGTCCTTCACAATTCTTATCCATGATAGCAATAAAAAATTTGTTGTGTAGCAAGTGATTCGATATGGAAGGCCCTAAACTACATTGTAAAGTTGTAGATAATGATCATACCAAAGAACCAAAATTAGGAAAGGAATATATGCAGCCGAAAAGGCGCGAACATAACTACTCACAGTTCACAAGAAATTTGAAACATTCAGGGAAGATAAAAATAAAATAACACGCTGAAGTAGAGCAGAAAATAGACATGTAGCAACAGACTTGCATCTACCAAAAGATACTGATGCAAAAATGGCATAAAAGATTTAAATGCATTGCTAACAGAAACAATATACCTAATTTCAACCAGCTACCAGTTATTCACACAAAACCAAAGCTATGCCAAGGTACCAATGATAATGAACCATAAAAAATTACAATATCTGAAATAAAAAAATTGACGCAGATGCCAATATCAAGAGTAACTTACTAACATATAAGGACACACATTTAAACATCATCTTCATTTAGTTAAGATGTAAGTTTACCTAGATTTTTTAATAAAACTAATACAATATGCATTGAAAATTTACCTTCCAGTATAGAGGAACCATTCACCGTGATCCTCATCATCAACGTAACCCCCAGAGAGTGCAACAGACTGAGCACCATGATCGGATTGACCACAAATACCTGCAACATGCGGAAAGTGGGCCCCCCACTGTCGACAGTCCATCCTATTTTCCCAAGTTTCTCCAACCACAACACCCGTATTTCTCGTTGGGTCATTTTCCGCTGTAATTGGACCGAAAAAATCAAGAGGGATTGTGACAAAAATCTTGCCACTGCATGCATTAGCATTTCCAGATTTTTTGGCGCGTTCGGTGGTGAATGCTTTGTCGGGACGATCTTGGTTGTGGATAAAATGGCTAGCCTTTGGTGGGCCTACAGAAGAACTGGACTGGGAATATTTGGCCATTCTGATAGCCATAACGATAGCAGAATTAATGCGAGGCTCCCTTGCCATTTTGGGAGGAATTGTCTTGCGACAAATAGCGCACGTTTTCTTGCCCTGCTGTCCAACCCATTTGTGAAAGCATTTCAAGCAAAAGTTGTGGCCACATGGTGTCTGAAAAAACAAGAATTAGAATGGTTATAAGAACTTTACTAATTTGCATATCAATCCAAAATCGCAAACCGACTAATGACGTCACAGAGCGATATCAGTCGTAAAACTAGTACGGATAACACTAGAATCCAAATTGTTCTATTTTAGTATAAATTTATTGAAATATTAGAACAAACAACCCTATAGAAACAAATTGGACATGCAATTAAGTACTTATAGGTTTCCGCAAGCTACTTACCGCTAAATTTACTTCATCCCAAACGATTAATGTTCTACTCAAAATTCAAACTAGAGCACTAACATATTCAACAAATTATTCAACAACAATCCACCCCAAGAAACACATCCCTCTCCCCACTCCAGATAAAACAGATAATTGCCAAAATAGAACTCCAATTTTATACCAGAAAAAAAATACAGAAACTGATTTTATTATCAATAAAAAAAAATATTAACCATATGAAAGAATTGGATTTTTTTTAATTTGAGAACTACTAAGAAAATCTAAAACATTACAGAAAGCAAAGGAAACCAGATTTCTTTAAAATGGCAAAGAAAACCATTTTTTTTTTCCAACGGTGCTCTACAAAAGTCACCCCCAAGTTGATTAAACCACAGCAGAGCCAAGTCAAAATCAAATTCACCACCGCAAAAAGTCAAACCACATAAAATTCCCAGATCAAACACAGCTATTAGAATTCCAACGAAAGGGGGAAAAAGCACATTTGCATATATGAACAGAGGAGAAAAGAGTAAATACATACAGAGACAGGCTTCTCGAGGAGCTGCATGCAAATGGAGCAGTTGAACTTATCCCCCAAAATCCCCAAACAGCCCACACCGCCGTCACCACCCTTCTTCTCCTTCTCCTTCTCGCCGCCTCCGCCCAACAGCTCCTGCCGCTGCTTCGCCTTCTCCCTATCATTCAGCGAAGCGTCGGACTCAATCGCACGGATCTTCTCCACCAGGCCTCCGCCGGAGACGGCCGGCTGGACGGCGGCTCCGGTGAGATCCGAGCAGTCAGGGCATTCCCACTGGGCGGCATCGGCTAGGGTTTTGGGAGGCGTGGTGAGGCAAGCGGCGTGCCACGGCGTTGCGCACGTCTTGCAGGTGATGGTTTCCCCTTCCGCCGCCTTCACCTTGCACACCATGCAGACTCCGTCGCCGTCGCAGGGGAGGTTGCTAACGTGCGCCATTGGTTGATTGCTGGGAAAAAAAATTAAAAAAAAAAAAAAAAAAAAAAGAGGTTTTTGAATTTTAATTAATTAATTAATTAAAGAGAAAAAAAAACACTGTAAAATTGAAAGTGGAGGATGGAGTGAGTGAGTGAGTGGTTTGGCCTTCTGGGAGTTTACGCTTAAATATAGGGAGGAGGATTTAGGGACTGTTTGGCGCGGACTTGAAATTGGATTTAATTTTAAAGGAAACTTTTTGAATTTTTTCAATTTTTCGCCCCTTTCCCTCTTTTTTATTTATGCATTTTCGGTAAGCGCAAAGCAATAATGCACCTTGCATATATAATATATAATATATCTATTGTTTTTTGTTAATTTATTTAATTTAATCATTATATATTTGTAATCTACGACTCATATTCTCTGATTTTGTCTGACAATACACTGAGTGGACTACCAAATGAAGAGGAAATTAAATTCATTACATATAAATCATTTACAAAATCTTCTAAAATGTTAATATTTTTAATCAAAATTAAAAAAAAAATTGCTTGGACTGGAAAAAAAATTATAACTATTAGATTTCGTTAATTATATGACTGTCATATTCTTTAAATTCCACTATTAGTTTATTCTACGCTTTGAATTATATTATTTAAATTCATTACTTAATTAATTTATTCTATAAATTATTTAAAAAAATCTTCAGAAAATAATAGTAATAATTTAGAAATATGTATGAATTATTCAACATGACCGTTCAAATTTAAAGGGATGGAATAATAAATTTATTCTAAATAGAGATTATCTTTGAATTAAATTAATCCTGATCCGATCCAATCACAGCATTGCAGTAATTGGGACTGTATTAGAAGCAAGCATAAATAGGATTAGATTTTATGCCCATAAAACAAACAAGAACGGGATTAGGTTTCATTGATTATATTATTGACTCGATGGTGAACCCTTTTGATCTTCCCAATAAAAAAATTAAACTATATTTATTCTTCATTCTATTTATTATGACCAAAATCTACCTATAATTTCATAATGAATTACAAGAAAGGATGATTTTTAATTCTAAAATATCTTCAAGTCTGCTTTATTTAAAAATAATAATCATAATAATAATAATAATTAATAATAATAATATTAAGGATAAATTCTACTTTCCTCGTTGTGTTTTGGTTCGATATCACTTTACCTCATTTTACTCTCAATTGCATCGATTTGATCCCATATACTTGAAAAACTGTCTCAATGTGGCCATCGCCGTTAGTTTTTTACATTAACCGTGTTTGATCTAAGTCTGAAAATTACCAAAAAAAAAAATAACATCCCTACCAATTTAAATAATTATTATAAAAATTTTGGCTTGAATTTAAAAATAAATATTGGCTGTCATCGTGGACTATGTTTTCTCGTTGTCTTGAATTTTTTTTTTTTCTTTTTTTTTCTAATTATTTAAACTGAGAGGGGTGGTGTTTATGTAATTTCAGAACTTAGATAAACGGTGTTAAGGTTAAATGTTTGACAACTAACAACGAGGACCACATTAAGACATGTTTTCAACTACAGTGGGCAAATCGATGCAATCGATAGTAGAAGGGGGTAAAGTAATATTGAGTCAAAGTACAAGTGGAGAAAGTAGAATTTACCCTAATATTAATATATGTACTTTAAAAGAAGCAATTTTTCATTTTATTTTTTAAATTTTTATTTTATTTTTTAAGAATCAATTTCATGAATTTCATGCACCTAATACTATTTGGTCATGGATTCGAAACATTCGACGGGGAATTGGGAACCATGATTTTTTTTTTTTTTGTAAAGTAAAAGATATAAAAGATTCTTATTATTGTAAAGTAAAGATATAAAAATTTACTATTAAATTATTAACATAGTTAAGAATTAAAATTCTTCTAAATTATTTATTTAAAATATTTTACTATAACTAAATTTATTTGAAAATAATCACATATCATATAAGTACAATTAAAAAAAATATTATGAGCGTAATATTTATTTTTTATATGATGCATTGATGCTAAAGTAATTTGTAAAATTTATAAAAGTATTTGAGGAAAATAACTTTAATAATCATAGTTGGGTCATGTAGTAAAAAATTATATTTCCCAACTTCTTGCCCAACTTATAAAATATAAAAATAATTTTATAAATTCAATATCCAAACATACTGAAAAGTATCTTTTAAAATTTTCAAACATCTGATCAAATTTAAGAGCTTATAAAATATTTAAAATAAATTTAGTATAACTATTCACGTTGTATCCACATTCAAGATCCAACATGTTAAGGTTATTAATGATTTATATCTAGATTCAATCAAATTTGTGATTCGAATGGAAACTTAATCGATAAAAAAATTGTTTAAAAAAATATCATAAATTTAGTAACCTCTAAAAATATAACATATAAATGATTTTTTACCGATCAGTTTAGACTTGAAAAAAAAAATTAAACAAATGTCCTAGCGGAACGACCTGGGCTTGAAAAACGAATAGAACGGATCGAAAATAAGTTTTTCAGGAAAAAAAAATATTATTTTCTTTTTCGGAATTCAAAATCTAGTTATGATTCCACTTTCATTTTTTTTTTTTTGGATTCTAAAATCCTATTCCAAGAGCATAATCAAGCAAAATTACGTCAAAAAATACTAAGTTTTTGGAAATTTGTTACCTTGACAGATTTTTAAATCGAGGTGTATGACGGCAAGGTGGAGTGGGCCATAGCAATCACCGCGGCTTGTAGTGTTTTTGTTGTCGGATCCATCTAGTAAGCGATGACAAGCCAACCACTGCATTCATTTCGCGACGTCAAATGATGGAATAAATCTCTATGAAGATGATACATTTATCTTGAAGATGGTGTATTACTATTGATCTATGTGTCGATGAAGAAGGGTAAAAATGCACGAGAGGTAATGGTAAACAGTGGCGGCGGAGATAAAATTAGGTTTAAGGAGAAGAAATGCATAAATACAAAATGTGGCGAAAAAATAGTAGAGCGCAGCCGAGTAAGCAAACAGAGAAAATTAGGTTTTTTGTCGGCAGTTTTCCTATTTCTTTTAGTAAACAATCTAAAAACGTAATATTTCAATAATGGAATTAAGTTTTAAAAGTAAATCGGATCAGGAAGCGGATTTTTTTATTTTTCTTTTAACTAATTCCTAGTCCGATAAAAAAAAATTGAAAATCGAAATTTCGGAAATTGAATTGAAAAAGGTTGTTCCAAGATCGTTAATTTTTTTTTTATGTGTATGTGTATGTGTGCATCTTTTCGTATGTCTTGGTGTGTAATTGTGTGATTTTTATTGGTGGTGTGTGCTTCTCGTGTTTTTTGATAGGGTGCGGCTGAAATTAATACCATTTTTTTCTCACTTCAATTCAACCAAGTTTAATACCGTATTTTATAGAAGTTATTACAATTTTTTCTTAGATTAATACCAAAATATTTTTTTTAATAGCAATGTACTAAAATATCCCTCATCAAACAAAATACAATTTATACAAAAAAAAATTTTTTTCCTCATTTCAACACCAAAAATTAAAAAACTCTTTTCTCATCCCCAAATTCAAACACTCTCTTCTTCTTCATCTTCTTACAAACTCTCCAAAAAAATTCAAAATTGAAAAAAATCAAAACCTCTCAAAACTGATAAAATGGAGTCACAAGACAATAAAATGGTAGTTTACATGAAGGAGAACCCATTAAAGTATTTATTCGTGTCTTTTTTGAGCTTCAATGGTTGATTTATTTATTTTTTTTCGAAATCCACCTACAGTTTTTGACACATACAGGTCGAATTTTTTGTCAATTTTCAACACCAACTTGTCAAAAAAATTATTAATTAAAAAAAAAAAATCGACACAAACATGTCGAAATTTCTTAAAAATTCGACATGTATGTGTCGAAAAAACATTGCTGCTTAAAAAAAAATTAAGAAATTTTTAAAATTTTCTTTTAAGAACTTTAAGCAGCAATGTTTTTTCAACACATAATGTGTCGAATTTGTTTTCCTTTTTTTAATAAAATTTTCATCAAGTTTGTGTCGAAAAATAACCAAAAATTCGACTAGTATGAGTTGAAAACTGCTGAGAGGTTTAAAAAAAAATTCAAAATGGACTTTGAAGCTCAAAAAAGACATGGATACATACCTTAACGGGTTCTCCTTGGCCGTAATACCATTTTGTGTCATTTGACTCCATTTTTCAAGTTGTGTGAAATTTTGATTTCTTTAGTTTTGAGTTTTTTAGAAGTGTTTGTTGTGAGGGGGAAGAAGGAGGAGGTTGAGGAGTTTGTGAAGAAGGAGAGGGGTTCAAGGGTTTTTGTGTGTTTGATATTGAAGAAAGAAAAATGATATTTTTAATGTTTTTGTGACATTGATTTTCATTAAGATTATTTATGTCATTTTCTATTTATTATTAGGGGTAATGGCAAATAGGCCCATGACAAGGGCACTTAATTAAAAGAGGGACATCCAACTTTTTTGTCTTTCAAATAAATCCACCCCATTCAAACTTATTTGCAAATAAGGAAAATCCCTTTATATATACCAAAATTACCCCCAATTCATTGAAACCCAATTCAACTCCAATTTAATGATTTACACCCCAATTTAGCCCAATTTCATCAATTAACCAATTTTAACCCAAATTTCAATTTTGGACCCCAATTTTAACCCTAATTCTTATCAATTCCACCAATTATGCTCTAACTTCTTAAATATTACACATTGACCCCGGATTTAAGCAAATATATCACATTAACCCCCAAAACTTTTTTTTTTTCAGAAAATAAATTTTTTTTCTGAAATATTTTTTTTCCGGCCAGATTCCGGCGTTGACTTTTTTTTTTGTCGGATATCTTCGTGAATTTTTGTTTTCCTGAAATTTTTTTCCGGCCGGTCATCAACGACCACGGCCGTTGACCACCGGGTCTCCGGCGTTGACTTTTTTTTT